TATAACAATTTATAATGATTGTAATGACTTACAATGTGGTTTATAAATGCACCAAGCAAAAACCGGGCATTTGACCAACAAAAGACATTTTTTGAATGTTCATCGAACAAAATCCAAAGGTGTCTTTTTGATTTAATGGAATCATTATCCTCTATGTAAATTAGGTTTAATAAATGTGTTTATATTATTTATATGCAATGACATCGCAAATGGCGGAAGCATTTAACTAACGGTAAAAAGGAAAAAAAGAGTAAAGGAAAAGAGAAGGAAATTTTTAAATAGTAAAAAAGATTAGTTAGAAATAATGTAAAAAAAGAAAATAATTGAAGGGTGTAAACGAACTAAAAGATTGAAGAAAAAATAAAACAAGAAAATGAATAAAAGAAAAAAAAAAATAAGCAGGTTTAATCAAACAAAAACAAAACAAAAAAAAAATCAATTAACAGCAAAGTACCAAATTAAAAGAAAAAAGTTCGAAAAATGTTTGAAATAATAACTAATAATAACTAATTAAAACGTAAAAAATCGCAACAAATTTTTCGACACCTTTTTTTTTTTTGTGACAAATATGTGATATTTGTTATATTATAATTTTTTTATTATTATATTAATTATTATTATAGTATTACCATTAATTATTTTGCAAAAATAATTAATTTTTTGTGGAACAGGAAAGTTTTAAGATCAAGTAAAGAAATGTCACAGCAGAAAATAAAGTATGGGGGGGGGGGTGCTGGAGTAGTAAGTTTAACTAATAAACTAAAGGCTATACAAATACACTGGATATCCAAAATGCTCAATAACAAATAAGAAGGTCCGTGGAAGCAAGCCAGTTTTAACATACTTAACTCCCATAGACTAGCGAACCAAAATAAATATATTTTTGAAATCAATCCAACGTAGCTTAAAATGCTCCCACCATTTTACAGACAACTGTTAAACAATTTTTACAAATTAAAAAAGAGATACAATACCCCTATTTGTGGAATAATACCCTATTTGTGGAATCGAAGAAATTCTAAATTTACCAATTTTTTTCAATAAAAACATTCGAAATAAAAACAAAAACTATTTAATTATGCAAAAAATACCCATAAAAAATGAGGTAGTTTTAGTAGCTGACATTACAAAAACTTTTCCGCCAGGATTTCCAAATTCGAAATCAATTGGTTTAACAGAGTTGGAGCTGAAACATAAAGTGACTGCTCTGCTAATTGAATAGAAAAATAAAATCTCAAAAGAAGGGCAAAATTTTGACTTAAAAAAAGCTCCATTCTATTTTGCAAAACGAAAGGATAAGTATGAATATAAAAATCTTACAGTTTCCACACTTTACAAACTCCTTAATAAACCAAAAAAAAATTATAGTCCCTAAATTTCATAAATGGACACCAATCTATTTTACAAGTATAAAAACAATAAATAATAAGGACTGGGAAAATCTTTTTGTTAAAATACACAAAAGGAACTCAAATAATAAAGCAAGTGAAATTTTTCAAAATAGCCAATTTTTTATTACCTACAAATGAAATGATGTTTAATAATGGGGTTGATGAAATAATAAAATATGCCCGCAATGACAAAAACATGACGAAAACAAATTTCATTTGATGTATAAATGCGAAAAAGTGCAACCTTTGATTCTTTTTTCACTAGATATTCTTGATCAAATTTACCCCATAAGCTATCCTCATTTTAGCACTTTTGAATTTATTTTGTTTGGATACGGTGCAAAAGCGAGTTGTAGAGAATTCGGCAATATTTTATTAGAAATTCATGTCATTTTGAAGATAAAGTTTTTACTGTGAAATATTTACTCAGAAAATTTGAATGTAAAATCAGATATTTGCTCAAGAATTAAGTAATGATAATTATAAATAAATACAAAGAAAATAAATATAAAGATGAAATAAGAAATATTTTTATTAAAGGTACTTTAAATTTGTATGCTGATATACGAAATTATTTTGACTAAGAAAAAAAAAAACTTCTGATAAATATTTATATTTTGGATTTCGCTTTTTATTTTGTTTTTGTAATCGTTTTTTTTTTTACTTTTTGTTTTACATATATATGTAAAAAGTAATTAAAAAACGATTACATATATTTACGATTACATATATATATATATATATATATATATATATATATATATATATATATATATATATATATATATATATATATATACAGTAATGGAAGTTTTTTAATAATTAAAGGAAGTATCCAGAAGTTTCCAGAGTTTTATTAAACTGTTTTATCGAACAATATCAATACAAGAAGTGTAATACAACAAGTGCTTCATTACATCAATACAGTCCACATCCAACCAAGACGTTGTGTTCCACAGAGCATTATTGTATCATCACAAGGTAAATGTGCAAAAATGGCTCCCGACAGTCTTGAATTGAAAGAAAATTATTGGCAATTACGTGGAATGTCACAAAAAAGTATTTGTGATAAATATTGCATGAAAAAATGGACCGTATCAAGACTATGTTCAAAATATCGTTCTACCTGGAAGTTGGCAGCAGATAATAAAGGTGGAAGACCGCGTTTCACCACTTCTAGAGAAGATTCTATGATCGTCAGATCTGTCAAGAAGGATCCCTGGATATCATGAGTCGAGATACAAAAGCAATTAGAGCTGCCTGTATCGGACCGAACAATCAGACGTGCTGTTGAAGCCGGATTGTTTTCTAGACGCCCTGCAAAGAAACCACTGATTTCACTAAAGAACCAGAAGAAAAAACTCCTGTTTGCTACATCTCATATTGACTGAAATGTGCAGAAATGGCGAACTGTCCTCTTCAGTGATGAATTGAAGTTCGACATCATTGGGAGCAATGGTATTTACCGTGTACGTCGACCGGCCGGAAAACGCCTCGATTTACAATACTGCCATAAGACCGTGAAGCATGGTAGAGGCAATGTAATGGTCTGGGAGTGTTTTTCTGCTAACGGTCTAGGTCCAATACATCGAATCAATGGAATAATGGACCGTTTCATGTATAAAAATATCCTCAAAGATGTTATGTTACCTCATGCCGAATGGAATATGCCAATAAAATGGGTTTTTCAGCAAGACAACGATCCGAAACACACTGCAAAAGTAGTCAAGCAGTGGTTTCAAGACAACCACCTATCGGTGATGGATTGGCCGCCTCAAAATTCGGATGTGGGAGATCGTCAACCGCAGAATTAATTGTGAAGGTGTTCGTAATAAGGATCAACTGTTTGAACAAATCCAAAATGATTCCACAAAGTTTCATTGATCACCTGATTGAATCTATGCCTCGAAGATGCCAGGCTGTGATTGACAACAAAATATTCGCAACGAAATATTGATAGCGAAATACAGCTTGGTCAACATTTTGTGGAGTTGCACTTGTGCACATTATATGGCTTAAGCCAATTATGTTTATGGTAACGTATTGAACCTTCTAATATCGCGTGCAATCCTGTCCGCTTTTTCTATGCTATCTTTCTAACTCGACTACTTCTGTCTTTTTTTCTAACATATTTTCGTTCTTCCCAAATTCACTTACTCTTGATCCGTAGAGCGGGTTATGACGCTCCTTGGGGAACCGAACTTGTCTTTGCGGGCCATGGTAATGTGGCCTCTGTATGGCAACTAGCCGGAGTAGGATAAACCACAATACCTATATATATATATATATATACATATATATTACATATATATGTTTATGTGTATATATATATATATATATATATATATATATATATATATATATATATATATATATATATATATATATATATATATATATATATATATATATATATATATATATATACAGGGCCGTAGAGAGCCAAGCCGGGCCCCGGGGTAAATTTTTTGGCGGGCCCCCTTTATTTTACATTAATATTCATATCCATATTGAAAACATCAAACTTAAAGTCTATGACGTGTCTTTAGTCTAACTTAAATTTTTTTTACATTATTCACCTTCCCAAGGCCAAGGAGTCACTATAGTCGAGGAGGCTACTCATTTTTTTGTGTTTTTATTTTTTATTTTTTGTTGTTAATTGTGGTACAACCCTCTCTCAACTCTTTAACTCAGAAACACAAACTTTGGCAAGCAAGGCCGCTGCGCGGAGTAACTAAGTTTATTTATCAAAAATTTTTGTAATAAAATGCTTTTTAATTAGCCAATTCTTTAATATTTTTACTATAAGTAATTAACTTGATATAATATAAAAAAGAAGAGAATGTAAATTAAAATAAAAAGTATTAATAAAGACTCTAATTTCTTTAAGAGAGTTTTACAGACAAACAAGTATATTCTTTGGTTTTCTTTTAAAAAAAAGAATATTTTAAATTCTAAGTGTTCAAAATAAATAATTGTATTTAATTGTACTGCAATTAACCAAAATAAGCTTTGCGAGATTTTTTGCTTGCAAAAAGTTCGATAACTGCATCAAAGTCTAGTTTCCTTGCAAGTGGCGCCTCAATTGCTAGTCTTCCCAAATTAGAAAGTCGATCTTGACACATTGTAGAACGTAAAACATTTTTAACTCTTGCAAGCATGCTGAAAGAGCGTTCTGCTTGTGCAACGGTAACTGGAAGTGTACAAAAAGTTCTAAGAACAACTAAATTGTTTGGGAAAAGAGAATCAAGCTTCAACTCATGGAGTTTGTTTAATAATTGAAACGGCAATAATTGTATTATGCCAAGATTTGATGCGTGAATTGCCTTTAAATGTTCTAACTCGTCTATTAAACCGAGAGAAACATCAATGCTGTATTTAACGCAAATAGATGAAGCTTTCTCACGCAGCAGATCTTTGTCTAATGTCATGTATTTCTATACAACACCAAATGTTTCCTCAAGATCTTTGGATGCCTCAAAACGCTAATTCATATTACCAATGCCACAGTCTAAAAGAACATAAAAAACATCGCGCTTGAAACAAAGTTCTGCACTGGTGTTGCCTAATTTATTATTCTGTTCCTCATCTGATAATCTAGCTTTTCGGTCATATGTCATTGGAAACCATACCCAGATTTTCGGCAACAAGTTTACATTCATTTAAAATTGAATCCCAGTTGTTTCTCAATAATAAGAGGTCATCAATTAAGTTTCTTAAATTTAAAACCTCCACATCTAAAGTTGCATCTCTGGCTTGCAGAACTGCGTTTCTGTAATTGATGCTTGTTAGAACTTTAAACCAAGTGCTTGCGAGTATAATGCACTCAAATGAACCCAAGTATTTCTCAATAAGTTTGATATCTGATCGAGTCTCGCCAGTAAGATTTAGCTTCTTTAAGTCTTGGATAGCACTCTTTAAACCAGGAATATGTTCTGCAAAAGGTTTTACACTTTCCATCCTGGCTGACCAACGTGTATCTGACATGCTATGCAAAGAGCACCCAATGTTTTCTTTTAAAATTTGCCATCTTTGTGTGCTAAAGCTGAACAAGTTATAAGTCTTTTGCACAACACCGAAGAAGGTGATAACCTCTGCACAGCACTCTGCGGCATGGACACCACACAGATTTAAGCTATGACAAGCACATGGAGAATAAATTGTAAATTGGTTCTCTTTAATTATCTCTGCTTGTGCTCCTTTATATTGACCGCTCATGTTGCTACCGTTGTCATAACCTTGACCACGACAGTGTATCATTGGTATATTGTGTTTTTTAACAACACTGAAAATTAATTCAGCAATAGCTTTCCCCGTTTTCTGATTGCAGTCAACAAACTCTAGAAATCGCTCTTGAACTTCATAGAGACTATTTTTTTCATTTAAATAAACATAACGCATAAATACAGTTTGTTCCATATGTGCTGAATCAGGGGTTGCATCAACAAGTATTGAGTAATATTTTGCTGCTTTTCGTTCTCTTAGAATAACGTCTAATACTTTTTTGGCACAACACTCTATAAACTCATTTTGTATTTCCGGTGAAAGGTAATTTGCTTGTTGTCTTCTCTTCAATTTCTGCGACTTCATCACTTTGTTCAGGTGGTCTTTCAAGACAGAATTATAATAGCTCAAGAGCTCTAAAATGCCCAAAAAATTGCCATTTGCTGCAACTCCAACTAAATCACTTGTTCCTCTAAATCCTAAACCTCGTTCGGCTAGAAACAAAGTGATATCTAAAACTCGGCGAAGAACCTGTTTCCACTGTGATGCTTGATTCTTAATGGTCTGCAACAGCATAATATCGATAGTGGAATTAGAGTCAATACTTTTTTCCAATAGCCGCCATTTAATATAACAATATTTATGGTTGCTGCTATTTTGATGCTCTGGAATTTTGTCATGTAATTTTTTCCATTTTCTTTGAAAATAATACTCAGATATAGTTGTTAAACGTGAGCGACTTGCTGTTGGTAGTTTGCTAAAAAGGTGACAAGGAAAACAAAATATCGATTGTTTAACTTTGCCCCAAACAAGCCAATCACGGGGAACATATTCTCTATTTTTCATACTTGTATGTAGTATACAAACAAGAAATGAATGTGCATTCACTTCTTTTGGTAATTGAGATGGGATCTTTTCTGGACCCCTACGAACTGCTTCCTCAATTTCAGAAGCATTTGGTCTTTCATTTTTTAGACTACCAACATCAAAGTCAAGCAGTTTTGCTTTAGTAATTTTATTATATATTTGATTTATAATTCTCAGAGATATTGTTGATAGGAACTAAAAGATTGCCGGGCTCCACGTCATCTTTATTTTCTATGTTATCAGGATCTGAAAAGTCGGCAGTCACATTAATTAAATCTGCAGCTTGTTCAACAACGTTGTCGTTATTGTTAAAATTAGCTTCTACATTATGATACTCATTTTCTAAATCTTTCTCTTTCGAAGACACTGAAAATCTATAACTTTGAAGTAGAGTTTGTTTTTCATTTACATTTTTCAATCTTGACAGTTTTTCTTTCCTTTTTTGAGATCCAGATTTGTGATGGTAGTTCATTTTTTATTTGACTACTAAATAAGATTTTATGTAAATTGGCATTAATTATCATTCCGGTAAATAAAACATTCTCTATATGATATAATATACCATATTAAAGATATGTCATGGCCCCTGTCGCGAAGGCTTTAAGAGGCCCAAAAAATTGAGGAGCAAAAAAAAAAAAAATGAAACCAATTTTAACATAAAAAGTAATAATTTCTTATTTTTGCCCCCGGTCGCAAAAATATTCGCTACGTCAATGATCTTAAGCGTCATACAATTTATTAAATAAAATTTTTATAATTGAATGTTTTATACCTTATAACAAAACTCCATATACAACTGATTAAATTTTAACATAAAAATAAACTAAACTGTAGAATCAAATAGACAATTTTCTGGCATTCTTTGTCTTTTATTTTAAAATACCGCAAGTGATTTAATGTTCTGCAAATGATCTAAAGTACTCGAATTATACAAACTATAAATGCTTCCAAATAGTATATTTTTTATTCAAAGTATATTTTTTACTACATAATTTTTTTCTTGAGATATTTTCCTTTTGATTTATTTCCGAATAACTTAGCTTATAAAATTTATAAAATATTTATTATGTTTTGCATTTAAATTTAACGTTTACGGTGATACTAATGTTAAAAACTGTAATTAGAACAACCAATCCAAATGCAGTATATCTGAAAACCCAAATATAATACTTTATAATTCACAAGTCCGGGCCCTTGAACAGAGCCGGGCACCAGGACAATATACCCCCTGACCCCACTCTCTACGGCCATGTATATATATATATATATATATATATATATATATATATATATATATATATATATATATATATATATATATATATATATATACATATAAATATATACATAAATATATATATAAAGAAAATAGAATTTAAAGGAAATTTAATTCCGAATAATATTGCATACAACGTTGAAACAACGTAAAATACAAATTAATTATACAACGCAAATTAATTATAAAACGCATTAATATTATTATTAATTAATTAAATTAATATTAATTAATTAAATTAATATTAATTAATTAAATTAAATTAATTAAGTAATTAATAAATAATTAATTAATTAAATTAAATCAAATTAAATTTATATTATTTAATTAAATTAATAATAATATTAATTTTAATTATAATTATATTACAAATTAATTATAAAACACAAACTAAAAATACAACGTTGGGTCAAAGTATAAAATAGAACGTTAAAACAACGTAAAATACAACTTTGTGCAAACTAAAAATACAACGTTGGCCAACGTATAAAATAGAAAGTTGAATCAACGTAGAAAAAATAACCATTTTCTGACTTTAAATAAACGTTTTAACAACGTATGTGTGCTAGTTGGGTTTGGATGATGAATTGTGGTATTTTAATTTATTCCGTTATCCGGCTAATTGCCATACTGACGTATGACGAACAAAATTCAAGAAAAAACTGAGCTCTTAACAAGTTAAACGAGTTAAAATACATTTTTACAGAAAAATTAAATTTAAAAGAAGGTATAAAGAAAGTAGTAATAATAATAAAAAAAAGTTTTTTTTAAATTTGTAAAGTTAGAAATTCTCAAAATTTATTTTAAAAATAAACAAACCACTCAATGTTACAAATAAAAGTTTTAGCCAAAACACAAATTAAAACTTTTAAAAAAATTGGTTAGCGTATTTATTTATTTACTAATACAAAAAAGGCATTTATTTACTGATTTAGATCAGTAATATGGTTGCAACATTAATTTTTAACAAAAATAAACTAAAAATAACAGTTGCTATATAAAAAAGATTATGTAGCTAAGAGCCGCAGCCATTTTAAAAACTCTGAAATTTTTATAAACTTCTGGCACATGCGCACCTAAACTTAACGCTTGTAAACGACCGTGTTCAAGTTTGTATAAGTTTCTATAAAAAATCTTCAAGTTCTAATAAAATTTCTTTTGAGCCGATTTTAACCTACCCGTCCCTGCCGTTTATTTCTGAGACATTGCTAATCTAATTTTTGTTTTTCCAATCCGATAAAAACACTGGGAGCATTTTTCCCCTTCTAAACTCCACTGAATTTTTGCTCTTATTGCCGCACCTTTGGCTTTTTCTTTTTTCTTTTCTTGTTTTAGTTTTTCGCCAAATTTTTTCGATATTATTTTTACTCTCTCCTTACCAGCCTCCCACCTTTGCTTTCCACCTTTGCTTTCCACCTTTGCTTTCCACCTTTGCTTTCCACCAATTCTTAACATTTTCATAAACATACCTTTGCTCTCCCCATTCGTTCCAAAATGCTTTATGAATAATGCTATATAATTATGCTTATAATAAATGCTATATGAGCATTAAAATAAGTGTTTTCTAAATGTTTGTTATTTAAAATCCATATTTCCAACTTGAGAAAAAAATCTCCTGCGTTTAGAAACGCTACTTGATCGTTGTCGTGGTCAGTTAATATAATTGGTTAAAAAATGTTTTTATGTTTTGTCTGCATTTTTTGTTGATATAGAAGCGATTGATTCTAGACTGGAAAATATCGTTAGTGGCTGCAAAGGTATACTCCTGTTTGTAAGGATTGAATACGTCTTCAATTTCTAAAAGGTTTAAAAGCGTTTTTAATATTTTACAAGAGAGACATTCACTTTTAAAGATTTCTCAGTATCTGTCTTTATCTGACAAGGTCGCATAACAATTTGAAAATCATTAAAATTTTTATCGCTAAATTCATTAATTAGTTCGTTAAGCAAATTTATTCTACGTTTTTGAGAAATTCGGTTACCGGATGGTGCGTAAATATTAATGATTAAATAATCGAAGCATTAATTTTTATTGCCACGTAGTTATAATTAACTTTTGAGTCAATTACTGATAAAAGTGGTTTTTCATAATTATGTGTCAAAATTCTAATATTGCAGTTCCTCGCGTATAAGATGTATCAGACGGTGAGTAAAAAACATCACCGTTCCACACATTTTTTAGGAAATATTTTTATTATTTAAACGCGTTTCCTGAACAAGAAAAACGTCATATGGCTTGGTTTTGAAATTATTGACTAATGTTTTTAACTTACTTTCGTTATTTAAACCATTTATGTTTCAGATGTAAAACTTTAAACGCTCTATTTTCAATTTTTTTATTTTATTTAATTAGTTATTTTGATCTTAGCTTTCTTACTTAAACAAAAAAATATATTCTTTTCTAGATCAGGTAAAAGTTTCTGAGCAACACTTTAGTATATAGTAATGATTAGTAATATACCAGAAAAACTCCTCCTTCAAATAAGTCTTTAGTGCCATTAAGTTTAGTGCCACCTTGCCATTTTGGTTTTACATATCTTTTTTCTTTACTCACTTTACTATTATTGGCGTTTGAGGATGTAGTTAATTTTGTAGCAAAAAAAAAGGAAAAATATATTAGCAAAATATATTTCCATAATCAACTGAAATATTTAAATGAAAAATAATTCTCATAAATTGTACAATAGTATATTTGTACATCTGCCTTTTCTCAATGCAAGCTCAACGTTGACCACTGTATAAAATCCAACGTTGTTCCAATGTATGTATATATTATTAAATCAACGTTGGTTTATAGCGAAGAGTGTGTATGAAAGAGCCAGGTTTTGAAAGAGCCGATGTCATTATATCTAACTTACTGGCACCCGACCATAGTTATATTTTACTTTTTGTGTGGCAACGCTGGATACCTGTCACCCACAAAAAATTTACAGTTCTACTAAAATAAATAACTTCGCAAGGGTGCACTAAAAACTTTGAAAATAAAAAGTAATTTTTTGGGGGTTTATTTTTAAGATAAAGAGTATTGTATTATTTGATAAAACATATATGCTGCATTGTTATATGTATATGTGCCCTTCTTTTCCACTAATAATATTAAATTAAAGTTTTGGTAAAAAATGTTTAATTTCAGGTTATTTTTTTACCATACAATTTTTTGAAAGAGCCACTTTTTTATGCTATGAAAAAGCCGGCGTTTTCTAATTAGGTTTTTTTAAACCCAATAACGGTTTTGTGCTTTAACAACTTCATCGTTTTTCGAAATGCTTCATTGATCATATTCTATTGAAATTAATTGTTCGAATGACTTTTCCTGAAGTCGTAAAACGTTGGTAAGTTTGAATTTTAAAAAATGTATTCAAATACTAATAAAGTTTTTAATATAACTTAAAATTTTTTTTTTAATTATTAAAATTTATTTTTGTTTCAAACTTCCTAATATTCTGTCAAAACTTATTTTGTATTATTATATTCACACATATATCACAAGCATCGCTAATATATGTGAAACGCCTAATAATCACAATGATTCGTAGATAACATTTATAGTCAAGATGTAGTCAAAATAATTTGTTCTTTTGACTAGTGTATATTAATTTTTTTGTTTTTTCTTATTCTCATTTAACTGCAAAAAGCGACGTTGACGTTATAGTATAACGTCATAGTATAACGTATAATTTGACGTTACTATAACATGACGTTATAGTATAGCATATACAATAACATGACGTTATAGTATAACGTATAACTTATGCAAAGATATTTTTTTTAATAATAAAGTGAAAATATTATTAATAAAGTGAAACTATTATTAAAGCTGTTTTATCATTGGTTATCATAGAACTTATAACTTACAATCTGATTTTATAACGTGATTATGATTATATAGCGTACAATCTGATTTTTAGAAGTCTAGTTAATAAATTATTACTCTTAAAAGACTTGTTAATTTTAGAAAAAACGTTACGGCTCATTCATAGCACAGAGTGTTTCTTTCTTGGAAAAAATGTTATGAAAGAGCCGATTCCTCTTTTTTTTTTTTAAATAGGTGTATGACAGATTTTTAGCATTGTTATCCGATTTGTTTTATTTTTTTAATATTACCCAATAAAGCAACTATTTAAATAAAATATAATTTTTTTTTTTAATTAATCAAAACTGACTTTTTTTCATACCTTTTTAAAACTGGCTCTTTC